ACTCGACGGCACATAACAACAGCAACAACATACAGAGAAAGTGGCTGACACAGAAGAATTTCAAGAAACAACATACGATCAAGAGGCAATGGTGATGACGGAGGAAGTTCAGGCTACTCTGAAGAACTTAGCAAAAAAATAAAGCCCCAGGAATTGATGGAAAACCAATCGATGTCTTTTAACAAACAGAGGCTGCCCTGAATGTGCTCACCGTGTGCCAAGAAATCTGGAGGACATCTACTTGGCCAATTGACTGGAAGAGATCCATATTTGTTCCCATTCCAAAAGAGGTAACCCAACAGTGTGGAGTTTATCGAACAATATCACTAATATCAGACACTAACAAAATCCTGCTGGAGATTATCCAGAAACAACTGAAACAGTACATTGACAGAACTACCAGAAATACAAGCTGGGTTTAGAAGAGGTTGTGGCATTAGAGACAGTTTTGCCAATGTCAGATAGATCTTGGCAGAGAGCAGAGTACCAGATGAATGTCTCTGTTTCATTGACTATGCAAAGGCATTTGACTGTGGATCACAAGAAATTGTGGCTAACCTTGAGGAAAACGGGAATCCCAGAACACTTGATTGAGCTTTTGCGAAACCTATACTTGGACCAGGAAGCAGTCCTCGGAACAAAGCAGGGAAACACTGCATGGTTCAAAATCAGTAAAGGAGTGCATCAGGGATGCATCCTGCCTCCATACCTTTTCAATCTGTATGCAGAACAGATCCTTCAGGAAGCAGGGCTTTATCAGGAGGAATACGGCATCAGGATTGGCGGTAGTTCTGACCTTAAGTACAATAAAACGAACCACTTCCAGGTCCTGCACCACACACATAAATGTTGCAGTGCTTGAACACGTTGTGACAGCCAGTTTGTTGAAGAGCCTCCTCTTTTTTCCTGATAACCTGAATTACTAACGTGATGTCCTTCTCCAGGGACTAGGCTCTCCTAATAACATGTCCAAAGTAAATGAGAAACAGGCCCATCATCCTCACCTCTGAGAAGCACTCTGCCTGCACTTCTCCCAAGACAGATGCGTTTGTTCTTTTTTTGCAGTTTATAGCATAATCAACATTCTTCAGCTACACTACAAATTAAAGGCTTTCGTTCTTCTTCAGTCTTCCTTATTCAAAGCAAAATGTATTCCTAAACAGAATGCAGTATATATATTTATATAAGTGGCATATTACTCGGTCATAAAGAGGAATACAGCTCTGATGTAAGCCACTATGTGAATAAATTTCAAAGCATCTTGATTGAAATAAATCAGTCAAGGAAAGGAAACAAAGCATGATCGTATTGTTAACGAATTAGGCAAGTGAATACAAGCCAATGGCTGTTGGTGGTAAACAAAGGAAAAAGGCAGAGGAAAGTGAGTCTTGTTTAGAAAGCACTGGGTTTCTCTTAGCGGTGGTGGAATGATATAAAAATGGAAAGTGAAGACAGTTGCATAATATGAATGAAGAACACTGTTGAATTGTATTGTAAAAGAACATTGAATTGGCAAATGTTAAATATATCTTCCTACATTAAAACAATTTTTTTGGCAAGTGCAGCTGTCAGATAACAAGCATTTTCTAGACTCAAGGTTCTAAGTCAGAGTTCTTGAATTCTTAAGACAAAGCCTTCAATATTGCTTTTCGCCCTTTTTTTTAGCAGCCTCAACAGAAAACCACAATGTAGAGTTGCTGTAGACTTAACCTCAGTCTGGTGGTAAATATGTAAATAATTGCCAACCTTCCTTCATCTGCCAAATATAGAAGGGGTCGTCCCCACAAAGGACAGGAAATGACGCTAAGGTCTTCACTAACAGCTGGTAGCTGAACACTGATCCCTCTGTTCCCATTATTATTATTCCTAGAAATGCTCAGCTAAAAAGCCAAAGGCTTCCAATTTCCTGTCTCCTTCACCATTTCAGTCTTCATTTCCAGCCAAGTGTACAGAGCTTACACTTTCTACCTCCTCAGTATCGGAGTTTCTCCAAAGCAGCGTTATTGAAGTCGTGGTCAGATTGTTCCTTGCACTGGGTGACTATCTTGTGTGTTGTAAGAGGTTGAGCAACATCTTCGACCTCCAGTCACTAGATGCCAGTAACACCCCTTCTACATGCAGTGACCAGAATGTCTCTGCTCCTCGGAAGCATTGGAGGGGGGACTGTACAGTGAGCAGCACTTCCCCTAGTTGAGAACCGCTGCTCCACATGGTACAGACATGAACAGTGATGGTTCAGTCAGTCTAAATACAAAGGTTGCCCCTATCAAAACAACTATGAGATATCATCTCGCTCCAGTAAAAATAGCAAAATTTAACAGAACAGCAAGCAACAAATGTTGGTGAGGTTGTGGAGAAGCTGGAACCCTTTATTCACTCTTGGTAGGTGTGTAAAATGGTGCAACCACTGTGGACGGCGGTATGCTGCTTTCTCAAAAAGTTGCAAATAGAGATACCATTTGACCCAGCAATTCCACTACTGGAAATATACCCCAGAGAGACTATAACTGTTACCCAAGCAGATATATGCACACCCATGTTCATTGTGGCTTTGTTCACAATA